TTTGTTATTAATATTCATTAATCTGAGAAATATTACATTTAACCTGTTTACAACTATATTACCTATTATTCTAAGATTAAAATTGATAATATACATTACCATGTATGGCAGGAGGTAAATGTAGAATACGAATACATACAAATATATAAATCAAAACAAAACTCATTGCCATCAAGTCGATTCTGACTCATAGCAACCCCCATTGGGTTTCAGAGGCTGTAAATCTTTGTGAAAGTAGATTATACCGTCGTCCTTCCATGGAGTGGCTGGTGGATTAGAGCCACTGACCTTCTGGTTAGCAGCCAAGTGCCTTACACACACACACACACACACACACACACAAATATACATGATTCTTTATGGAAGTATCTTTATGGAAGTAAAGTGCCCAATTGTCCTTCTGAGGAGAGGCTGGTGGGTTTGAATTGCCAGCCTTCTGGTTAGCAGTCAAATGCCTTAGGCACTATGCTACCAGAGCTCCTAAGACAATGTGTACACACACACATACACATATACAAGCACACACACAAAATGGATTGATACAGTGGCTATGACAATGAGCTCAAGCATGGCAATAATTGTGAGGATGGAACAGGACCTGGCAGAGTTCTGTTTTGTTGCACATAGGGTTGCTATAAGTTGGAACTGAGCTCTGGTAGCATAGTGGCTAAGACACTTGCCTGCTAACCAGACGGCTGGCGGTTCAAACCCACCAGCCACTCCTCGGAAGGAAGGTTGGGCAATCCTACTTCCGTAGTGATACTGCCTCGGAAACCCAAGGAGGGGTCGCTATGAGTCAGGTTTGACTCGACGGCACACAACAACAACAACAACAACACCACCAACACACACACACACACACATATATATACATACACATCTGTTGTTGTTGTTGTTGTTATGTGCCGACTCATAGTGACCTGTCCTTGGGTTTCCGAGGCAGTATCACTGCGGAAGTAGACTGCCCCATCTTCCTTCTGAGGAGTGGCTGGTGAGTTTGAACTGCCAGCCTTCTGGTTAGCAGTCAAGTGCCTTAGGTATTACGCTACCAGAGCTCCTCATACACATCTGTATGTATGTTGTTGTTGTTATGTGCCATCGAGTCAGCCCTGACTCATAGTGACCCCTCCTTGGATTTCCGAGGCAGTATCACTACGGAAGTAGGATTGCCCAACCTTCCTTCCGAGGAGTGGGTGGTGGGTTTGAACCGCCAGCCGTCTGGTTAGCAGTCAAGTGCCTTAGCCACTATGCTACCAGAACTCCCTGATATACAGATATTACCCTGGTCTCAGGCTAGTGGAGGCTGTAGTTTATGCGGTTCATTAGTTCTTTGGACTAATTGTTTCCTTGAGTCTTTGGTTTTCTTCTTTGCTGTGGAGGGGAGAGACTAATAGTTTCATGTTAGATGGCTGCTTAGAAGTTTTTAAGACTCCAGTCACTATTTACTGAAGTAGAACGTAGAACATTGTCTTTGTGGACTATTTTATGCCAACTGACCTAAACATCCCCTGAGACTGTGGTCCTAAGTCCCCAAGCCCAGTGACTCATTCCCTCAGAATGTTTGGTTATGGCTAAGAAGTTTTCAGAACTTTGCCCCTTGTGTTCTCTCCTATATCCTTGGATATATTTATAGGAAGTACAAATACATAGGTAGAAATTTCCTCTGACAAATGTTTATATACTTGTGGGTGTGCTCCCATTCGTCTTCCCACATCTGTTCAACTTGTGTACCTACCTATGCATCTACTCATAGATATTGTTTGTTATTACTATTATTGCACGATTGTATATGTAGATTTCCTTTAAATAATAATGGATTGCAAGCCCCCAGGTACAGCATGATTAATTTGCAAAACTTTAATTAACACAAACTTTTCCAAAAAACATATGTCAGGGAACCCTCTGGGAAGTTCTGAAGGAGGAATGAGAATCAGTTTTACCTGCTCCTCACATTGCATCAATGTTACTCAGGTCTGAGAGATCTACAACCTGTTTTCAAGACTAGTTTTCCCCTCTTCAATCTAATCTTCATAACTCGGGTGAGGTTCTATTGGTGTTCCTAGTTTTCTGACTAAGACTCAAGAGTGTTAAATGAGGCTGGAAGGCAAGACAGAAGGCAATAGCTGGTTCATTTTACCAAGTCACACCAAGTTCAGACCAGAGACCTTTTAAGCTCCGGTCTGTGTTAGAGGCCTCTTGTAGCCATGGCAACGTGCTACCAACACCCATTCTGCTAAGTTCCATCCATACCATTTATTTATTTATTTTTAAACTGCCATTTATTTGGGTGGAAGTTTACAGAGCAAATTAGTTTTCTAGGCAACAATTTATACACATTTTGTTTTGTGACATTGCTTGCAATCCCCTCAATGTAACAGCAGTCTTCCCACTTCTTCCCTGGGTTTCCCGTTCCCTTTTGTCCTTCGTTCCTGCCTTCAAAGCTTTGTTTTTAGGGAAGTGCTGCCCTTTTGCTGTTATAGGGTTGATTGTGCTGAGAGGTACATTCCTCCTTGGTAATATTATTCACTTTCTAAGCTTGTCTATAGGAGCTCTGGTAGCATAGTGTCTAAGGCACTTAAGAGCTAACCAGAAGGCTGGCAGTTCAAACCTACCAGCCACTCCTCGGAAGGAAGGTTGGGCAATCTACTACAGTAGTGATAGTGCCTCAGAAACCCAAGGAGGTGTCTGGCGCTACGAGTCAGTCCGACTCCACAGCACATAACAATGACAACAACAACTTGTCTATTGTTCCACTGAAAGTTGATCCCCCCAGGGATGGATCAACTTGAAAGGTGTCTAAGGGCCACAGTCTCTGTGGTTCTACCAGTCTCTATTAGATAAGAAAGTCTGCTCTTTTTAATGATCTCCCTGCTTATTAAATCTAAATCTGCTACGTCAAAAGCACTGGGATTGGTTAAGGCAATGAATGAATCAAAGACTCTCAGAATTAGACAGGATCCTAGAGGTCATTTTGTTCCACCTGGGTCCCTAGCCTGTGTTGAGGACCCTTTTTTGGCAAGACTTTTCCCAGTACCATTAACTAGAGAGAAGGCTGGTTGCAGGCTGGGATGCTGGAATGCAGATGATGGATGAAGAATGGGAAGATTCTAGAATCTACTTCAGACTTCTAAGGAATTCTGTGATTCTCCTTTATTTCCTTTAGTGGAGTAAAGACAAGGCTAGCTTCTTGCCTTTCTTCTCCCAAAGACCAAGCTAGGAGCCGGACTGTGATCCCAGGAGGTCTTTTGGTTGGGGATACTTTGCTGTGCTCCCTCCTGCCTCAGTAACTAGCTCAACAGATACAGAATACAGCCATTCATTCAACAAATATTTTATTGAGTACTAACCAAATTTGGGGCACTGAGCTAGGCTCCAGGTTCATAGTGTGAATGACATGAAAGTTAATGCCTGCCCACATGGAGCTTACAGTCTAGTGGGGGGGAGGGAAGACTGTAAACACAGAAATAAATACATCATTCTAAATCATGATAAGAGTCATGAAGAAAAAGAAGAGTGTATGCAAGAGAATATAGAGGGTCAGGTAAACCTTTCTGAGACAGTGACATAAATCCTGAAGCCTGAAAGGTGAACAGAAGTTAGGCAAAAGTGGAAAGAAAGCACATTCTAAGCAGAGAGGATGATGAAAGGGTGAGGATTGAGCTCGTATATTTGAGGGACAAATGACCAGTATGGCCAGAGCACAGACAGTATGCCACTGAAAGAGAGGTGGGTGCCAGATTAAACATTATGCTCTGTTAGGAGCTCTGATGGCATAGTGCCTAAGGCATTTGACTGCTAACCTGAAGGCTGGCGGTTCAAACCCACCAGCCA